TTGTTTCCTAGGGATGAAGCGTTTCCGAGTAAATCAAGAAATTCTCTCATGTATTCTTTTTTCAGGAGCATGTTCATTCCTCCCAAGACCCACAGTTACAGAAGGGAATCAGTAACTTCCACTGGGGACGACCCAACAGCAGCCACCAATGGTGCCCCTCACTCCATCCCAGTCATTAAACAAATGATCGGCCCATTAAACGCTGCCATTTTAGTTGTGTTTAATTTTTTATATATAAATAACACTCAGGTAATCCTCCAGTGAATGAGCTCCCTTTTGCTATCAGAAAGACCTCCTACATTTTACCAGCCGGAACCTAAAACTTGTAAAGCACTGAGCACTGCAAAGGCTGGTAGGGCAGGAAATCTGGGCAAAGCTTTAATCCTGAAGAAGATAAGGTAGGGCATGGCCTCAGCCCCAAACCAAGCAGGCTAAACACCCTGCTACAAGCCCTTTTTCATGTTATACTGAGTTCAGATGGATTAACATGCACTAACTCCAGCATGGACCAAAGCCTGTTAGGGAATCACACATCCAGCTTATCAAAAGCAGATATAGCAAATAAATCATTCAGCTAAACCAGTATTTACCTTCCGCTTTTTTATAGCTCCATTTGTACCCGATACAGCTTCACACAGTCGGCTTATTGCTTCCCTGCAAATAGAAAAATACAGCACAAACTGTGGGATCATTTCACATGCATCATCTGTAACAGGGCCAGCAACCCTGTGATTTATTGTTATCGTCCCACTTATAAACACTTAAATCTTCTGGAAGGTCTTTCACAGTTGTTTTTCTTCCTTCTTTCCTCCCACTGTTAAAAAAAAAATATTTAACAAAATACAATGATTCAGCAGCCTGGTTTGGGTTGATTCTTTTTCTTCATAAAACACATCAGTTTCACCTAATGAAAATTTGGAGTTTTTTTTTTAAAAAAAAATCAACTAACCACAAGAAACTCAAACAACCTAATGTCTTCAAATCCTTTTTCTCAGTACAGTTGACAGGTCTCTTGCTTGGCAAGGAGCAAATCCTCCCTGCCTTAATCCTTCTTATTTAGAGCAGCAGGGGCATGCTGAGCGAGCCCAGCTGGGTGCCCTGATTGTCTTTCTGGTGTTTGGGGTTTCTCTTTTTTTTTTTGAAAAAAAAAAAAAAAAAAAAAAAGTGGGGGGAAAAATAAAGACGTGTAATCAGCTTCTCCAGTTCTTTTTCAAATCTGAGGTCTCAATCCATATCTTTCCATCTCTGGCAGGTATGTCCCAAACTAGATGTCCATTCCCAGCCACCTGCTATTCTCTATGGGCACCTCTCAGTTAGGGAAGCAGAAGGGTAAGGCATAAAGCTCTCACAGTGTTTATTGATCTGCATCAGACAGCTAAATTATACATTTAATATAACACAGCGGCGCACTGTGCCTGTTTTCCACACTTGAACAAAGAAAATTCTGATACGTGCTCCGGCAGGTGACTGGTTTGGATGTACGGTGGCGCACTCGACTGCCCCGATCGGGGTTAGCACAGCAGCTGGAAAAAACCCTCTTGCTGGCAGTCGGAGGCTTTCCCCTGACCGACACTCGCTGTTCTGAAGTCAACGGAAAAATGGTGGTGACCGACTGGGCTGGGCTGTGCTTAGCAAGTTTCCTTAACCTTGCCTGGACATCCCGGTCCGACCCGCAGCCCCCGACCTCTGCCGCTGCCCCGGCG